CTCTGCCTTTTAGTTAGCTTGGCTAAGGGTTTGTTGATCTTGTTGATTTTCTTAAAGAACCAGCTCTTGGTTTCATTGATTCTTTGAATTGTTTTATTTGTTTCTAATTGATTGATTTCAGTCCTGAGTTTGATTATTTCCAGTCGTCTACTCCTTTTTGGTGTGTCTGCTTCTTCTTTTTCTAGGGTTTTTAAGTGGGCCATTAAGTTACTTGAATAAGCTGTCTCTAATTTCTTCTTGAAGGCACTTAGTGCTATGAACTTTCCTCTTAGCACTGCTTTCATTGTGTCCCACAAGTTTGGGTATGTTGTGTCTTCATTTTCATTGAGTTTTAGGAAGACTTCAATTTCTTTATTTCTTCCCTGACCCAGCTGTCATTTAGTAGCAAGTTGTTCAGTTTCCATGTGTGTGTAGGCTTTTCACTATTTCTATTGTTGTTGAGGTCCTGGTTTAGTCCATGGTGATCAGACAAGATACAAGGGATTATTTCAATCTTCTTGTATCTGTTGAGGCTTGCTTTGTGACCAACTATGTGGTCTATTTTGGAGAAGGTTCCATGAGGTGCTGAGAAGAAGGTAAATTCTTTTGTGTTTGGGTGTAAGGTTCCATAAATGTCTGTTAGGTCATTTGATTCATGACCTCTGTTAGAGACAATGTTTCTTTGTTTAATTTCTGTTTTGTTGACCTGTCCTTTTTTGAGAGTTGGGTGTTGAAGTCTCCCACTATGAATGTGTGGGGATCTATGTGTGGTTTAAGTTTTATCAATGTTTCTTTTACAAATGTGGGTGCCCTTGTATTTGGGGCATAGATATTCAGGATTGTGATGTCTTCTTGGTGGAATTTTCACTTGATGAGTAGAAGTGTCCTTCCACATCTCTTTTTATTAATTTTGGTTGAAAGTCTGTTTTATCAGATATGAGAATGGCTACTCCTGCTTGCTTCTTGGGTCCATTTACTTCGAAAGCTGTCTTCCAACTCTTTACCCTCAGGTAATGTCTATCTTTGTGACCTGGGTGTGTTTCTTGTATGCAACAGATTATTGGGTTTTCTTTACGTATCCATTCTGTTAGTCTGTGTCTTTTTATTGGAGAATTGAGTCCATTGATGTTGAGAGAGATTAATGACCAATCGCTGTTAAATCCTTTGATTTTTATGTTGGCTGTGGTCATAATTTTATGTGCTTGGTTGCTTTTTGTTTTACTGTAGTGAGGTTAATTATTTCTTGTGTTTTCTTGAAAGTAGCTAGTTTTCTTGTGTTGTATTTTCCCTTCTAGTGTCTTCTGTAATGCTGGTTTTCTGTGTAGGTATTGTTGAAATTTGTTTTTGTCATTGGATATCTTGTTTTCTCCGTCTATGAGGACTGAGAGTTTTGCTGGGTATAGTAGCCTGGGCTGACATCTGTGTTCTCTTAGGGTCTGCATGACATCTGTCTAGGCCCTTCTGGCTTTCATAGTCTCTGTTTAAAAGTCAGGTGTGATTCTATTGGGTTTGCCATTATATGTTACTTGGCCTTTTTTCCTTGCAGCTTTTAGAATTTTTTCTTTGTTCTGTATACTTACTGTTTTGATTATTATGTGGCAGGAGGATTTTCTTTTCTGGTCTAATTTATCGGGTGTTCTGTAGGCCTCTTGTATTCTTATTGGCCTCTCCTTTAATTTGGGGAAACTTTCTCCAATGATTTTGTTGAAAATATTTTCTGGGCCTTGGAGGAGGGAATCTTCTCTTTCCTCTATTCTTATTATTCTTAGGTTTTGTCTTTTTATGTTGTCTTGAATTTCTTGGACAGTCTGTGTCAGGAATTTTTCAGATTTAACATTTTCTTTGACAGATGCATCTATCTCTTCCACTGTATATTCCACACCTGAGATTCTTTCTTTCATCTCTTGTAGTCTATTGGTTATGCTAACCTCTGTAGTTCTTGTTTTCTTCCCTAAGTTCTTTCTCTCCACAATTTCCTCCATTTGTGTTTTCTTTAATTTTTCCAATTCTATCTTCAGATCTTGAGCCATTTTGTTGATTTCCTTCACCTGTCTGACTGTATTTTCCTGTTTTTTCTTCAATTCCAAAAGCTGTTTGTTTGAACTATCCTCTGTTTCTTTTATTTCCTTCAATGATTTAAATATTTCCTCTCTAAAGGCCACAAACTGTTTGGCTGCAACTTTCTGTATTTCTTTACAGATGACCATAACCTGCTTTTATCTTCCTCTATTTCTTTACGGATGGCCACAATCTGTTTGTGTTTATCTTCCTCTAGGTCTTTACACATTTTATTTGTTTCCTCTGTTATCCTCTTCATGAGCATAGATGTTAGGTCATCTTCTTGAATTTCAATTATGCTGGGGTGTCCAGGGCTACTTGTCCCTGGATAACTGGGTTCTGGAGATGCCATATTGCTCTGTCTTTTGTTGGTTGAACTTTTATGCTGGCCTTTACCCATTGGGCTATTTTAGGTGTTGGGAGTTAGTTTCTGGTGGTTCCTGGAATCCTGTGGTGTAGAGAATCCCCTTGACAGGAAGATGGGTTTTCTTGAAGGAATCCTCCTCAGCATTTTGGGTATGGTCAATGTATGACCCGCATTTTTCAGAAGTTGCCACAGCTCACCTCAGGCGTAGAGACCTGAGTGATAACTGTGATCCTTGTTAGTTGAGAGGGCTCCCCTCTCACCCAGAGAAGTCCTGGAGACAACTGCCCTGCTACTGGGTTTCTTTATGTAAATTTAGTGAGCTGCTGCTGCTGTAACCTGGGTGTCCCGTGGTTTGGTCAGTTTTGTTAGGGATAACTGCTTGACCCTTGGAGTAGTATTTGGGGGTTGATCTCGGGGATCCTGGGCATTTGTAGGTCTGAGGTTGGGGCTCTGGGCCCCAGTACCCAAGTGGTAATCTGTGGCGGGTGAGTACCACTCTCCTGGTAACAGCAGGCTAGCTGGTGCACAGCAGGTCCCTGGGTTAGGCCGGTCTGAGGGACCTTTTCCAGGGATATACTGGGTGGCCTAAATCCATCCCCTTTGCTTCGTTCCCTGTGAGGATTTCTCCCCACAGTGACTCCAAGTCTCTGGTGCCCTGGGGCGCACAGTTCTGTCTGTGAGGAATAGTTGGTACAGAGTAGGTCTCTGGTCTGGTGGAGAGTGCGCCTGCCCGCTGGTCTGTGGGATCTTTTGTAAGGATATACTGGATGACCTAATTCGGGTCCCTGTTTCCTTCCTTCCCTGTGGGGTTTACTCCCGACAGGGACTCCCAGTCTCTGCTGCCCTGGGGTGCACAGCTCTGTTTGTGACAGAGAGCTGGGCGCACAGCAAGTCTCTGTGCTCGACGCTGGAGCCCAGTTCGGTGATGGCGGCTCGCACCCACCATTCTGCGAGACTTTTTCCAGGGAAAGACTGGGTGACCCAGTCAGTACCGGAGAAACAAACCTTTATGTGTCTTTTTTTTTTTTTTCAAATAATGAAGGTCAGAACCTGAAATCCTTGGGTTAAGGAGGAAGAGATAAAACAACGGAAATTGAAGTTACAGATAACCTTTCCACCGTCTTTCTTTTCCCTTCTATCTTTACCTTCTTTCTCAAAATGCTGTGTTTATTATAGTTTCGCTGCTTGGGAAAATGAGAGAGTGAAGATGAAATTAATGATATGTAAGGTAGAAAGAAACACATTAGGTGATGGACCATCTGAAGCTGTTGCAAGGTGCAAGGTTGACCTTAGATATATTCACTAATTTTTTACGGGGAGGTAGAAAGGCCAGTAGATTTTACAGTGGAAAGGTATCAGCCAAGTTTAAATATGAGAGAGACAAAATTCACAGTGATTTATAAGAACATAAGAATGTGTATCCTTTAAGCAAATATTCAAATAGATAATAGTGAAGGGCTGATACAATGGCTTCATAATAAAATGTACAGGTTCAACCCATCTTACTGCTGTGCCAACCACTACATGCAGCCTGCCCTTTGTCAGGTAAAGGTGTCTACTCTATCTCTTGTCAGCATGTAAGAATGCTAGCCAGAGGAGAAGGAAGGTGTGAAAGGGAACCCACATATCTTCATTGTAATGGGCTCAAGCTAGTGAATATCTCTATTGTGTCCAAATCTCACTCTGACCAGCAGCAGAGGCTGAGAAGTCTAGTGTTTGGTAGGAAGAGAGTGTACCTAACTACACGTGGTATTACTGAATGGATGCTTCTCTGCTTCAGGGAATATGCCGTTTTTCCTCTAATTTCTCAATGAGAGGGTGACTCATGAATGGAATGAAAGAATAAATGAGATTTTGAGGGGTTCAGGAGCCAGGCGAAGAGGCACAGTATTCAGAAGACTGAGCTAAGTAGAGAACTAGTTAACTATTTAACTGTTGCTAGGCAGTGTGGAGAGACCACTTAGACTGTGAACAAAAGCAAATGCAGACCATTCTGACTCCTCCCTGAAGCTTTCACATTAAAAACAAAAAACCCAACCCAAATCAAACCACCCCCTCAACAACAAACAAACAACAAACAAAATAAATACAAAAACAAAAACAAAACAACAACAGCAGCAAAAAACCCTGTCTGTTTCACGAGATTGAGCCCAATGGCACATTTGGGATAGGTCACATGTTCTATTCAGTCAGAAGTCTCTGGTAAGTCTATGCAGTTGGCCAAGAAAAGTTTGTTCTTGGTCCTGGGAATGCAATGCTTGTTTTCTAAGTTTTCTACTGTGCAAAGAGCAGCTTCAGGAAGAGGTTAGCAGACACTGGAGATGCAGCAATCTTATGCACACACATGAGCACACTCATCTATTAAGCTAAATTTTCCCATTATTTTCTCAGGACAGATAGGCAAAGTAGAGCCCTGGGAAGCGTCCTCATTTCTCCTGTCACAGAGAAACTGGTGATTCAGGGGTCACAGGAGCTGGTAATATATAACCCGCATTGATTTCTCTGTTCCAGAATGATTTTTGCTTCTGTTCCTCCCAGTGGTCTGACTTTTACCCCAAGAGGCAGGAATGTTAGGAAATCATTTACAAAGTGGCGCAGCCTCTTCGTCTGCTATAGTTATAAATCTAAGGATGAGATGGGCCTGAGGCAAAGGATCCAGGACTTCTTGTTCTTGATCCTTCAGACAAAACTCTGTCCTCCTAGTGGGGAAACCCAGCGGCACCAATAGCCATGAAGAAGCTACCGTACTGCTTTCTGATCATGATCAGCCTCTCACAGGCTTTTGACCATGAAGGTAAGAGTCATAGTAAAGGTATGATCTGGGGAATAAGGGTGGGAGCCAAATATTGTATGTATAAATATATACATACAGAATATAAGGAGCAGCATGAGGTGTACAGGTGTATTTGTGTAACCTGGGAAAGGGCCAGATGTTTCTTGATCCCAAACTCTACCTGTAATTAAGGATAAGTCTTTGTTATCTGAGAAACTACTCACTTTCTTGGTTTTCTGTCTTACAGATGTTTCTAAAAAGGCCTTTGTATTTCCCAAAGAGTCAGCTACTTCCTATGTATCCCTGGGAGCACTGTCAAAGAAGTCACTGGACGCCTTCACTGTGTGTCTCAATATCCTCACTGATCTGAGCACAACCCGCAGCTTCAGTATTTTCTCTTACGCCACCGAGCAGAACACTAATGATATCCTCATATTTTGGACTAAGGATGAAGGGTATTCTGTTTCCGTGGGTGGATCTGAAGTAGTATTCAAGGCTTCTGAAATTCCTGAAGTCCCAACGTACATCTGTGTCAGCTGGGAGTCTGCTACAGGGATTGTAGAACTCTGGGTTGATGGGAAACCCAAGGTCCGGAAAAGTCTGCAAAAGGGCTACACTGTGGGGCCAAACGCAAGCATCGTCCTGGGGCAGGAGCAGGACTCATATGGGGGTGGCTTTGATGAGAACCAGTCTTTTGTGGGAGACATTGGAGATGTGGACATGTGGGACCATGCACTATCTCCACAGGACATCCGCAAAGTACATGCCGGTGAGGCATTCTCTCCTAATGTTCTGGACTGGCAGGGACTTGAGTATGAAGCCCAGGGTGAAGTGTTTGTCAAGGCCCAGCTGTGGCACCGACCTTCTACCAACAGCCATTGATTACCTATAGGGGTGGGGTTCTGTGAAATTTCTTCCATCCATGTTTTTTAGGCAACTCAGGGATGGAGCACTGACTATCCTGTGCTCGGAGGCAGTTCTTTTCTGGAATAAAATCTGTGTGGAACTTCCCAGGTTATGAGTCAATAGAGGCTTGAATAAAGTTGAGCAGATTCATGACTAACTCATTATTGACCCTCTGAAATCAAGAGTCTAAGTTCAGGCTGACTGTCTCTGCCTTGCAGGATTGTTTCCATACCATTCTATCCTCTGCTGCTGGAATCTTTGTGATGGGTCTCTTTGAGATGAATAGTCCTGCTTTGGAGATAGCTGGTCATTCATTGGGTTCAGGCATGGGGTTCTTATATTCTCTCACTTTTAGAATTCCAGTTTGAGAACAAAAATTTAAAGAGCTTTGAGATTCATTTAATCTGTAGTCAAGTCCAGTGATGCAATACATTTGTTTCAGTCTAGTTCGCTGCTTTGTAGAAACAGACCTCTCAATGTTGCTGGCTTCTGCCAGTGGTATCCTTTTCCATGGTCTTTCAGAACTGGGTGAATGATGAAGTGATTCCATAAGGCCTTTTTCAGTGTTGGAGAAGGGGCTCATTAAATCATTATTTTAGGGAAGGCATATGGTAGAATGGCTAAATATAGAGATTCTAGGATCGGGTCCAGGTTCTGGTGTTATAATTTGGTGACCTCAGTTTTCTTACCTATAAATTTCAAGAAATAATTCAGTCCACTTAAAGGGTCATTGCAAGAGCCATATATGATTACCTAAATAGTACACTCTTGTATAGCCACCTTCTAGTGTTTTCAGCTTTGTACTATATGCCTAAACAGTATATACCCTAAAAATACTGTTGCTGGAATTTGTCTGTGTTAGCAGTAAGTGAGTTTCTGACTTGCAAAGAATTCAGTTCAGACCATTAGGAGGATGAACAGAGTGTCTTTGAAGAAATTATTTATGAATATCGATTTCCTTAATTGACCTTTGATAACCATTTAGAAGCACAAGAGTTAAGGAAATAGATTCTTAGGCAAAAATGTGGGTTTAGATAATTCTCTATTGTCCAATTAGGGTAGATCCATATACCCTGACACTCAGCTAAGTGGGAGAGAGCATTGATGCTCCTTTCTAGTTAATGAATCTAACCAGGAGATATGTCTTAATTATAGAAGGCCGTCCCAACTCCCCAGGGATGTGGGATGAACTAATATGTTCTTCAGAATTCAATTATGGGTACCTTGCTACACACAGTCTGGTGGAGAGCCTCTGGCCCTGATGATTTTATCCAGGGAAAATTTAACAGGTAGTATTTGCATTCAGTGTGGATTAAAAAAAATCTTAATAAATATTTCTGTAGTGCTTAGATTTAAGCGATTTACTTTTCTGGTGGATACTTTGATGTAATCCTCTTAGAAAATGTATTCTTAGGTACCTAGTGACTTGTCATACTGCATGAAGTTGTTAGATATAATCTAATAATCTGCTGAGGATGGTTTTCATTTGGGAATGTTGGTGTTGTCATTTTTATTTTTTTTATAAGCAGATAATACCAGTCACCCATGGTGGTCACTTCTAGGTGATATTGGTAATGCGGTATTATCGCACTGGTCTTCCTAGGGATCACATACATATCAAGCTAATCCAGGAGCATGAAAGTACAAGTTAAAAAGACAGAAGAGTGACTAGGAAGATGATTAAGTTGGTAAAGTACTTGTCTTGCATGCTTGAGGACTTGAGTTCAGTTGCCAGAGCCTACAAAAACTTGCCAGGAATGGTGGGTCCATGCTTGTAATTTCAACCCTGGGGAGGTAGAAACAAGAGGATCACCGTGGCTCACTGGCCAGCCTCTGATCTAATTGGTAGGCCCCAGATTAATGAGAGACTCTGTCCCTGATGATGACCCCTGAGACTGTTTGCTGGCTTCTACGTGCATGTGTAAACACATGCACACACAACTGTATGTATACGTTTGACTACATACACATGTATATGCACACACACATATAGGCACATATAAAAATCAAGGAAAAATGATAAGCCATATTTACAAGAAAGTATGTTAAGTGGACTACAGAAAATGGAGGCTCAAATCTTCAGACGAGACCTGAAGAGACACTGTAATTCATTTACAGGCAAGAGCACCTAAGGGTGGCTAACTATGCAAACACCTTTCATTTGTAATTGGAAAATTGCTATCTGGTACAAAGGTTAGGGCTAACCCTGTCCCATCTGGTGGCATCTAAGCACCAGATGCAACATGGTGCTGTACAATTCAGAAGCATCTCATATCCCTGTGTCAGGCAGAAATACTGCATTACAGTCATGCAAGAGGCTTTGCATGCTCTCCAATAAGAGGCATCATGAAGAAGTCATGGTTAGAACTGGGATTTATGTTGGTATGGGTGAGTGCATGGGACCCATCTCTTTGGTGAGATCTGGTCTATCTAAGACCTGGGCGAGTTACTACAGATCTCCTTAAAGGTAAAGATGGACAATGACAGGCATGGATTTGTAACGCAAGTTGACAAAGTTAGTAGAATATTAAATTGCATATTCTTGCCCTGTGTTTTTCACTACCTCCAATCTTGACGTGTTCCAGTAAAGCAAAGCTTAACAAAGAACACCAGCGACTCAAGGTTATTAATAAAAAGCAACACCAAAACCAACTTTGAAAAACATAGTTTTGGTTCCTAGAAGCCTCTCAAAAGGAGAGAAGTGATGCTTTGATTTCAGTCTCAGGTATCTCTATCCCAAGATAGCTTACCCTCCTGCCCCTGATGGGCTGTCCTGGTAACCTGCCAAGATTGCTTCTCTTCAGTTTCCTGTCTCTATCTTATCTGTGGATAACTGTTTATTTTACGTGGACCAGAAAGTAAGTTAAGTGGGTTTATTTGCTTTTTTTTCCCCTTCGGAAAACAGAGACACCTAGTTTAATTTCCCTGGATGCCTGGCCCAGTAATGGGCTGTAGTCTACTAATACGGAAATTGTTACCTCTGGGGTGTTGATCATGAGTGCAGACTCACTGGCTTCAGAACTATTAGGCCAGACTCTCTGGAGTTAGAGCCTGGGAATGTAGAGCACCCAGCGTGCTTATAGAATCAGGCTTATCCAGTGGATATTCTTAGCTCCCAATAAGCTTCAAGGCAGGTGGATGTCTTTAAAGAAGGCTCTAGAACAGACAGATTTAGGAAATGCCCCTCGCCCAGCTAAGGTGCATTCTTTATATCGTGTGAACACAAATAAGAGAACTTACAATGTTCCGTTAAGGTTCTGAGGATGTCAACTGCCTAATCACAGGGAAGATCCCTCATAATATTTAAAAGTACCCTATTCTTTTTCAAATTTTTTTTAGTTTTGAAATTAAATATGATTACATCATTTCTCTCTTTTCTCCATGCAACCCTTCCCATGCACCTCTCCTTGCTTTTGTTCCGAAATGTGTTGACTCTATTTTTAAATTATTGTTTTTCACACACACACACACACACACACACACACACACACACACACACACAC